CAGCCCACGGGGTTTGTGCTCCTGGGCTGAGATTTGGGTCATTTGTCCTTGGTGCCCAGCTGGAGCAGGAATTGTTTTGTCTCCCTGCTCTGTGCACAGAGCTCAGCAACGCTGAATGTGAAGCTCAGAGCTGCACACTAAAGCATCACAGAACCTGAAAAATATAAAATCTAAACCTGAGGCATCAGGAGAGGCTCAGTGTCTGGGCTCAGCTCCCACAGTTATTTCCAGCTCAATTTTTGGGGCCAGAGCCCATCTGGGAGTCACTGAACTGATTAATGAGGGGTCTGAATTCCCCCAAAACAATCCACACATAGCCCAACTCCTTCCCTAGCCGACATGACTCACAATTCCCAGAATATGAAAATACTGGCTTCTGAGGTGGCCAGTTTTTGATCTGAAGTTTGGTGCACATTTTGGGCAGCCCTGCTTTGAGGTTTGCCTTTGCGTGGCTCTGTGTGCTTTGGGGATGCAGTAGAGGAGCTGGCTGCTCACTTTGTTACATTTTTAGAAGAACAAAATGCTGATTTCAGAGAAAATATTTTTATGATCATTGCTAAATGGCAGCAATGGAAACTTTGCATGGCCTGGAAAAATCTCCTTGGTGCTGTTAATGCCATCCGTGCCTATTTAAACCCACATGAAAAATAGCAGTGGTTGAAAGTGGCTATGTTCATTTTTGAGGTGTATGAACATTCCTTGCAATACATTTTTGTTACTTTCAGTTCAGTTTTTGCTGACGTCCTGCCAAGGCTGTCTCAGGCCAGCAGGAGCTCCAGGCTGTCCTGCTGCAGGGGACACAGTCCCTGCTGTCCCTGTGTGCTGCATTTGCAGGATTGCAGCCTTTGGAGATGGCACAGCAGCCTCTGGTGGCCGCAGGAGCCAGGCTGGGACAGGAAATCTTTGCAGATGGAGGCAGAGGCAGTTTGGGACCAGTTCTTGTAGGAACTGAGGTGTCAGCACTTCAGGGGACAGCTGCCAGTGGAAATCAGGCCAGACTGAGGAGCTTTTAGAGAATAATTTCAAATTTGCTGGCAATTAGCATCTTTTCCAAATGTGTCGAATCTCAGAGCAGACTGAAAATTTTGGAAGAAGCGTCATTTTTCAGGATTTTTGGGACAAGAAGCAGCACATGTTCCCTTCCCCTTGGCTGTGCTGGGACAAAAAAGGAAGCAGATGAAATTTAGCTGGGTTACTGCTCAGGGAGAACCTGCACAGATCCTCAGTGGAATATCCAGAGTTTGAAGGGACCCACAGGATCATGGATCCAGCTCCTGGCCCTGCACAGATACCCCAAAATCCCACCCTGGGCACCCCAAACCCTCCTGGAGCTCTTGGGAATGTGCCCATTCCCTGGGGAGCCCAGCAACCTCTGGGGGAAGAGCCTTGCCCTGATATCCATCCTAATATGGATATATAACCTGGATATGATATCCCTATATGATATCCATTCGCACAAATGTGAAATATCCAAGATAAATAAAAATAAAATAAACGAGATAAAAGGACAAATCAAATCAAAGATTCTGAAGGAAGGTATCTCCTTAGTGTAATAAGCACTCAATTGCTTTGTGCAAAGATCCCAATTCTGATATTTTTGTCCTCCAAATAAGCGTTTTAAGTTTTCAGAAGTAACTTCTGCTCTTCTCCCCTGCTCCAAACTCTCTTTCTGAAAAGCCCCCTGGCCTTGAAGCCGTCCCAGACCCCAGCCCAGGCTGCAGGCTGGTTCCCAGAGCAGGAGCAGCTCTGGGTCTGAGCTGCCATCCGTGTGTGCTCAGTTGGCAGATGTGAACGGGGTCATCGAGGAGGAGTTCACCATGGCCAGGCTGTACATCAGCAAGATGAAGTCGGAGGTGAAGTCGCTGGTGAACAGGAGCAAGCAGCTGGAGAGCGCCCAGATGGACTCCAACAGGAAGATGAACGCCAGCGAGAGGGAGCTGGCGGCCTGCCAGCTCCTCATCTCCCAGGTGGGGCTGCCCCGGCCTGCCCCAGCCTTGGGGATCTCCAGCGGGGCTGGGCAGAGGGTTTTGGGATGGGCTGAGAGATGGGAATTTGACTTTGCGGTTTCAGAAGGTTGATTTATTATTTTATGATATTATATGATAGCATAGCACAACATATCACATTATTATATCACATTATTATATCACATTATTATATCACATTATTATATCACATTATTGTATCACATTATTGTATCACATTATTGTATCACATTATTATATCACATTATTGTATCACTATCACACTATATCACACTATATTGTATGAAATGATATTATACTATGTTATATTAGGTTATACTATGTTACATTATATTACAGTATATTATGGTATATTATAGTATAGTATACTATACTATTCTTATAGTATACTATATATTTATTATTTTATGTTTTTATATGATACTATATGATATGATATAGCATAGCATATCTCATCATATTATATTACACTACATTATATGAGATATTATATGAAATGATATATGATATCATATTGTATTATATTATTTTACATTATATTACATTATACTATATTATACCACATAGCATTATATTATACTACATTATACTACATAGTGTTATGTTGTGTTGTGTTATGTGATGTTATGTGATGTTTGTTATGCTATTATAGTATATTATATTATGGTACAGTATGGAATATTATAGTGTATTGCATTATATTACATTACATTACATTACACTACATTATAGTGTATTATTATAGTGCATACCAGTATAGTGTATTATATATATAATATACTATACCATCTATGTTATATATATTATATATAATATACTAGGCCATCTATATTATATATTATATATTATATATTATATATTATATATTATATATTATATATTATATATTATATATTATATAATATACTATGCCAGTATATAATATCATCACATATCACATATCACATATCATATCATATCTAATATAATATAATATAATATATAATATCATATATCATATATCACATATCATACATAATATAATATATGATATATCATATATCATATATAATATCGTATCATATTCCACGGTATAGACTCTCTCTTAGCTCTGTCCCAGCCATTCTGCTGCAAGTTCTCCCAGTCATGGATGTGGAGATTCTCTGTTCCCTGTCCCTTCCGTGGGCCGCTTGTCCCTGCACTCCCAGGGTTCCCTGCTCCTCCCCTCTCACTGCTGTTCCTTGTCTCTGAAGCACGAGGCCAAGATCAAATCCCTGACAGACTACATGCAGAACATGGAGCAGAAGAGGAGGCAGCTGGAGGAGTCCCAGGACTCCCTCAACGAGGAGCTGGCCAAGTTACGCGCTCAAGGTACAGCTCTGGCTCTCATCATTTCTGTCTCACTCACTTTTGTGTCTTTAGTGATGTGAAAAACTTTAACACCCCCACACAGATCCTTTACCAAGCAGCACCAATCAGTCTTGCTGAATATTCTGTAAAATTCTGGATTTCTGAATTTTAGCTTTCTAATATTTCATTCTAAAATTCTGCATTTCTGAATTTTAATATTCTAATATTCTGGGAAATATAAGGATTTATCTAAATTTCACTTGTCCCTCTGCCACATCCCTGCCTCATTCCCTGCTTCCCTCAGATGTACACAAGTTGTGTCTTTGCCAGCTGACTTAATTTTTAAGACTTGGTTTTCCCCTTTCAATTGGATGTGGAAAATGTGTAGGTATCAAAAGAAGCTCTTGTAGCTTTGTTAAGCTCCTGGGTTATATCAATTTATAACCTTGCAGCCTTAAAACCATTCTGGATTTCTGCACAAGGGATTTTCCCTCTCTGGGGGAGCAGCAGGTGGGGACAAGACTTTTTATTTAAAAAAAAAAAAATTATCATCTCCTGCATTGTTAGAACAGAATCTTTATTCCATCTCCTGGAATAAATTAAATTTATTTTTAAATCTACAATTTAAAATTAAAACTGTTTCTGCCTTTAAACAGAAAAAATGCACGAAGTCAGCTTCAAGGACAAGGAGAAGGAGCACCTGACACGACTCCAGGATGCAGAGGAGATGAAGGTAGCTTGGCACAGGGGAAATTTTGAGGGAATTTCTTGGTGAGATTGTTCATTGGGGTGGAATTTTGTCTTCCTGTTCACATGGCCAAAAATGACATTGATTCACCTCTGTGTTACACTAATTTTTTGCTGCTGGAGCTCTGCTGGAAGTCAATTTGCTCAGTAGTGAATGAGGCTGCTGGGGTTAATATCATTTAGGTACTTACAAATTTGATTTTAAAAGAGGCTGCTTCCCCAAAGTTCTGCTGGAATTCTGATTATCTCCTGGAAATAAGAATAAAATATGTAAACTCGTTTTCTGGCATTTTTCCTTTGGAATGCCAGGAAATGTTTGCAATAATGAGTTGTTCTGATGGGGTTGCACATTGCCGACAAGGAAAAATGCAGTTTTACAAGGACAGTGACAGAGGTTTGTCAGCTGCAGAACTTTTCCCTCCATCACAAAAATTTTAAGTGATGAAAGCAGTTGTAAAGTGATTAAAGCAGCTGTGATTAAAGTGGTTGTACCTTACAGCTCTGAGGAAAAAAGCAAAGTTTGTGTTAGCAGTCTAAAGACATAGATTTTTTCCTGTTGCTTGAGGCATATTTACTCCTAGAATTTAAATTTAAAAACCTATTTCAATAGCAGGGCTGTGGATAAACAATTCTCAGAGGTTTGGGTTTCGTTTCTGACACAGGTAGAGCTGTACAAGTATTTCTGGGTGAATAAACAGGGGAATTCACCAAGTATTTCTGGGTGAATAAATAGGGGAATTCACCAAGTATTTTCTAGGTGAATAAACAGGGGAAATAAGAGAGAATTGGTGTAAAACAAGTGGATTTGAGGCCAAGCCCTGCGTTTTCATGGGGTACTTTTTGCAAGAAAATGAGTCAAAAGTGTTGTACAACTGTTACTAAAAC